ATTGAAAACATTGCCATTTTTAGTGGAGAAATGAGTTAGAGGGTGTAATAACTGAGTGCATCATAACAAGTGGAGAAAATAGGTCAATGGCAAATCATCACATATATATGTGGCACTTGGGGACATGGTTTAGTGGTGGACTTCACAGTGATATGTTAACGGTTGGACTCAATGATCTTGAAGGTCTTTTCCAACCTAAATGATTCTATGATTCTGGACACAAATGTACCAAGATTCAGAAACAGAAATCAAGGATATCCAGACTTCTAACAAACGCTAAAACCATCATAGTTGATACAGTAAACATCTTCCTTAAAGCCTTGAATCATTACACATTTAGATACATGGTACATACTGCTTTTGTCTGGTTTTGGTTTCCTACTGATCACTCTGGATCAACTCTGCTGCTGTTGGGCAGTCTGGCACGGAGGGACTGCTGGCTGGTCCAAATTGCCTGAGTGCTGCATAGATTTGTTCAACCATTAAAAAAAAATATGGAACCTACCTACTTACAAACAGCTGTGTGCATAGTAGCTGAGGTGTCAAACACTGAGTGGGAGGAAGAAAACATGCTAAATCATGAAAGCAAGAGCACTTAGAAAAACACAATACTTACTTCTCGTAGCTGTAACTCACAAACGGCGGTTGTGAGGAGGGAACAATAACCAGCTGCAACAACCCCATAAACTCCTATTTGCTGCGTGTGTTTCATTACCAGAGAAGTAAACTACTGAGATCTAATGTTTTAAGTACACATTTTCTAACATGGCTTTTCACAGAACAGAAGAAGTGAGAAGGGACACAAAGACTCAAAAAGCCTGAGCTGGCACCTCCTGTGAGCCTGTGAGGATTTGGCTATACCTCAGAGGTGGCCTGGATATGAAGAAATGCAAGCCTCCAGTAAAATTTTGCATGTATGAGGGTTGCGGTTTGCCACTGTGATATTAAAAACAGTCGTCTTTTATTCAGATACTCAAGATATCTGAAATAGGGCAGGCATGCCTGTGACCTATCAAGTAATCATGTTGGTCAAGGCTCAGTCTAGATCTTAGGAAGCTTAGAAGAACATGACTCTTTTTCTCATACCCAAGTCAAAGGGGCAGGAGAATATGAGGATGCTCTGAAGCCCATGCGCCATACAGACAGCAGTGCCTGGGATCTCACCTAGCTCATCTGCAAATAGCAGAACAGCATTTTCCTGCAGATCTGTGAAAAGGCTAATAAAATTAATAGTGTGCCTTGGTCACACCTGGGAAATGATAAATAGATGATTCCTCATTAATATGAGGAATGTAAGACAAAGCACCTCTCTTGGTCTGAACTGTATCTTTTTTGTTCATGTAAAACTAGCCTTGTCTCAGAGGGTTATTAGATTCCAGGTAGCTTCCCACAACTACATATTTTATTGTTTTTGCAGTTCCAGTTTTCAGAGTTCTCCCCTGAACCACAAGGAAAAGAAATAGCAGAAGGTCAGACAAAAATGTCCAGCCTTCTCAGACAGCTATAATGGCACGCCTGGTTTCCTATCTGGAATTGTTGGTCAGATATTCCTCAGCAACCACAAAAATCCATGTGTTACTTTGTCTCAAAGACTATGATGATGAAATAAGTTGGCTCTTTCATTGCTGTGTTTGAGACATGCCTTCTTTAAAATACATGAGGTGAGAATTAGGCCATACATCAGGGTTGTCATGAACAGCTGAGACATACAACTCAGATCCAAGTATGAAAATGAAATCTCTCACAGAATTCCCTTGTTTCTTGTATACGTATCAAGATAGGTTCCTTCAAGAGCTATACTGATCCTTTTGAGCTGCATAGCCATATCCATACTTACCAAAACGCTGAATGACAGTATTTCCTTCAAAACAAGACTACGGAACAGAATCTTAATAACTCTAAAAAGCATCATCTAAAAAAAACCAGCTGATGATTTGTGGAGACTCTCAGCATTGTTACTGCCAATGCCAGACCACACTATCAGATAGAATATTCTGGCAAAGATTTATCTCATTACTCTGAAATGCGTTTTCCATTTCATAATGCTATTTAAGGTTAGCATGTGGAACTCCAGAAATAAATCAGAATATTGATTATGCATGTTAGCCTATTCACATTTAATATGACACTCTTAAGTTCCTGAAAGAAGACTACATGACTGAAATTCCAATTTGCAGTTTTTAAATGGGGAAAACATGTTAAATTTTAGAAACAGAAACATTGTATTCTCTGTATGCCATGTTCTGGTTTATGGAGCTTAGGTGATGTACAAAAAACTTAGCAGTGAGGTGAATTACAACACTATTCACTTTATGGCCCTTTTACACTGGTATATCTGGTTGGTGGCAAATCCAGCATACAACATCATACTGTAAATGAGAATTTAGTTAGGTTAGAAAGCATAACTAAATAGGTCACTACACCATATGACAGTAGATGCTTTAAATATACTGATACACTGACATGTGTCATCTAAAAACCAGAACAGCTTATTGAGTTGTGCCACCTTTGCATAGAATAGACATCTACAGACTATTTCAAACTTTCAGGGAAATGAAATAAGAATGACACACGAGTACTTGTTCATCTAACACTGGCAAAGGTTTTGTACGTGGAAGCCAAAATTCCTTTTTGGTTTTGGCCACTAGAAGGAACATAAGCTGATAAACTAACTGTCTTCTAAAATATTTTTGTGTGTTTGGCATCAAGTACGTGCCTGTTTGGTAAACAGTATAATGAGCACAAAGAATTACTGTGTTGGGGCATTTTGTGAGATCTGTGCAATTCAAAGCACTATCCTGGTGGTTTGAAAGTGATTTTGTAACATGGTCTAGGAACAGCCAATGTTTGTAAGACTGGTATTCCACCAACTTGGTAAAAACTGGCTTATTATTTTCACTTACAGATGTAAGCATAGAATTAATTTAATCTAAACTTAGCTTGCAATATATACTTATACAGTTGGACTGGCTTTCTTCAGAGGACAGAAATACGATAGATGCAATTCATGTAACTAGTTTTGAACATTAGGATGTGACTTTTTTTCTCTTCACTGACCATAAAAGGGAGCACAGAATGACAGACTGACTTGTAAGCACATATAGGTGATGGGGTACACTCATAGGTACAGTTGTGCATTGTGATAAGAACCAATGCTCATGAACTAAAACATCTCCATGGGGTTATGTAAAACAAGAGTTGTACCTGATTTAGCTCAGGGAGGACAAGGACCTTCAGGAAACACTTTTAAGGCTGTTGACATTATAACAGTCTAACTGGCTCAAAACAGCATAAATGGGTCAGTCAAATGGAGCTCACATGCTCTCACTGTCCTCACTTGTCATCAGCCATACGTCTGCATAATACTGTACAGCAGCATGGAGCTGTTGATTACATGTGTTGCTTAGTAATGCACATTTCCTTACGGCATAGGTGGATTCCTACACTGGTACAATAGCTGCTGTGGTTAAGCAATTTTGAAATTACTTACAAAGATCCAATGGAACCTGATCTACACTGGTATACAGATTTCTGTGATCAACCTGCAATTTTTTTACTCATTGAGAAGATGCCTGTAATCAATCTGATGTCCCAGGAAGGTGCAGATGAGAAGAGTGGTCTTCACCAACATTAAACTTACTCATCGTCATCCTCCAACCAATTGTTCTCCTGGATCTAGATTTTCATAGTACCAACGGACCTTGCTGATCACATTTTGGATTGGCCCATTTCAGTGAGCTGCGTTTTCACATGTAGTCAAATGTAACAAGCTGTTCTGAGGTTGAAGAGCATTACGGCTGCGGTCTACAGGTGATCAGGAGCTCTCAGTTAAGACTGCCTAATGGTTCTGTACACTGAACACCACCAGCGAAGCAGCTTTTGCTTGGTGAGATATGACAGTTGCTAGACAGATTGTTTAAATCGTGACCAACTTTACAGTAACTTGCCATTCAGAGGTACACTTAATGTTCTCCTCATTGAGCAAATCTAATGCAAATTACGTATTATTTACATTAATATCATGGGAAGACCCTATCCAGAGCAGCAGTACAATCTAAAAATTATACACACATTAGCAAAGTCATTCAGTTATGTCTTTGTTTTAATGAATTTTTTAAACATTTGTATCATCAGACAAAACATTTAGGTCATGAGAAAATATTTATTCCCAACAGCATGGATTTTGCAAGTTAGTTGGAAGAAGGCATGTTCAATGCTATGATTTTTCCAATGCTGGGTCAGTTGAAATAGTGTGTTGTAGTGCATATATTAACCAGTTACTTTAAGGAAATGCAAAAAGACATAGTGAAGTAGGAAGTGAATACAAACATTCAAGGCAGTAAAAATGCAGAATACTGACACATGGCTGGAAAATGTACTTTTTGTAATGCTCTTTTAGTATCACACAAAACTAGCAACTCACTTTAAAACATTCTTTGTCAGCAACCATACTTTTGACTATAAGAAATTATTAAATTTAATACAGTCTTTCAGCTGGAAGAGATATTAAGGTCTAACGCTCATATCAAATGCTCAGATTTTGTTAGCTTTGCTTGTTATTTAAGATAGTTTCAAGGTACTGCACCAGTATCATATAGGTTGGTTTTTTTTAAAATTGATTTGTACAGAAACATGCAAATAGTAATGCATGAGGGTTTTATATATTTGATTATAATTGGATGTATTATTGATAGAGCACATCAACTTTTTTTGTTACATTTTATGCTGAACTGTTCTACTTCCACACCTACCAGTTGCCATCACAGTTCTCATGGCTTATTGTGTAAAGCCAGAAAGTGGAGAAAGTAAGACTGTCTTTATTTAGGACATATATTAATGAAAACAATTGTTTTATAGGTAGAGATATCTATCTATATATAATTAAGATTACATGGTATTTTTATCAGCATGAAATGTAAAAAAAAAAAGTTCTCCAAACACCCCAAAGTAGTAGGAAAACAGTCAACTGGCAGAATACACTCTTAAACCAGTTTTGTGTAAGGCTTCAGTTTTCCTGATGAATGGGACTAAATTTTTAAGTACTTCTGTATACATTTTAGTCATTAAAATTGTTTTATGTCACAATATATTCTTAATAAAATAAAAACTCTTGTGTTGTAATCAAAGATAGTTAGTTACCTTCTAGACAAATATGACCTTGTCGAGAGTAGGCTGTGTCTAAATATAAGAAGTAGAATTAAGGTGCTTCCATATTTTTGCTTTCATTCTTAAAAAGTACCACACATAAACAATTGCAATAATTGCTTGCGAACATGCTTTTCTTTGGCTTTTACCATATTTAATAGCATGTGATTCCCCATTGGAGAATTTTATATTCATTATTTTCTTGATTTTGTAAAAATTGTGTTGTAAAACTTAACGGAACAAAATGTTGGATGCATTTCCTTTGTCACAGCTACACTTTTTTTCTCTTCCTTTCAGAATTTCTGTTTGCATCAAGCAATAACTGCAAGCAACAACAAATTTAAAGCTAGATTTTTTGCACGTTGTAAACTGGGTAGGACCAGGAGTTACTGACAAAACCAGCTGGTCATGCAAGATTAGCAAATTCTCTGTATTCCAACGCATTGCCATCTAATCTGTCCTGTTTCCCCTGACACATACTAACACAATGAAGCTGGACAATGGTTCAACAGCAAGTGCATGTGATAGTTCTGGCAAGACTATTTTTGTTTTGATTAAGCACATATTTTATCCGGGAGGGGCTAGAAAAGCAGGGCCTTTTTCTTCAGGTCATTCCGCTTCCAAAGTGCCAGACGATCAAATTCCTCAATGCTCATTTTGAAGACTTCCTGGAACTCTTCAGGGGACAAATGCCTCTTGAAAATGAAAATACAAAATGTATCATTAAGCTCATCTGTGCACAGGAACATTTCTGCCCTTCCTAAGTTTTAAAACACACCACAAAATAATGCATTAGGATTTGCATTTGAATTCCCAAATTGGTTCTGGAAAAGACTGCATCCAAACCAAATGAACTCAGAGTAGCTGGGAAGTGAAATTATTGATGGCAGTAGTGACTTTTGAAAAAAGTAATATTTTCAATACAGTTCCAGCTGAGCAGAAGTTACGTTTTTTGGGAAAAAGATGTGTTTATACATGGTGCTTGATGACAGAGCATGCTGAGACAAATTTAAGCTATTCTAGGACTTTAAAGAGATTGATAACAATGTAATTTCAGAGCTGGATTTGTTTTGCCTTGATCTTTAATGAAAGCAGTGGACACCACACTGGTCCACTAATAGAAGCCTTATAACAAAGGAGAGAGCACACTGCTAAATTCTTAAATACAAAATGTGCTTATCCATGGGGATAGACTCTCATCAGATGTCCATGTTGGAAAAAGTGTGGGTTTTTTAAATGCCAAGAACTATGCTTCTATTTGATGTTTTCACGATTTCTTTTTTTTTTTTTTTTTTTTTTTTTAAAAGAGAGAGGTAAAGGGGAGAATACCAACATAAAGAATTTGAAGGAGGTTGGATAACAATTGCTTAACAATTATTAGTATACACACATAAAAGGCAGAAAAGATAAATGTGTGAATTAGAAATGACTATCATATAAAATTCTTCTGATAATTGTGGACTAACTCTTGCTCAAGCATTTCAGTAGCATCAGTTATGGTTCTCTGTTTCTGATGCATTAAGCACACACCATGTAAAAAGGACAGATTCAGTGCAATGAGAACTACAAATAGCAATTTTTAAACATGGACTCTCCTCTTCCACAAAGATTTCCTTGAAACCTGGGACCAGCCCTGCAACCTCACCGTCTCCTCCCCAACCGTGCTTTTGACTTGAAGCTCCCCAGACACAGCTCTCCTTCCAGGCCCACCTGGGCAGCCCCAGCCTGAGCACCTCAGCCCCTGCTGAAGCACCACTTGCATCCAAAAACTAGGTCCCCCAAAGCTACTAAGCACAAGAAATGCTTGGACATGACTCACACAGCAGAATCAGGCTCATCACACACTAGGATAACATGTATTGGCCCTTTCCTTTTGTCTCACTGCTTCCTGGTTGCAGGACTTCCCAGGAGGTGAGAAACCTGGGTTCAGAGTTCTCATCACTCTGAAGAGGCTCAGAACCACCACCTAGTCCGCATTACTCACTATCAAGATGCATGTCGAAAAGACAGGCAGGAGGGTAATTTTAAAGGAGATACAGTCCTCATGAATGTGAATAAAGCTACGAGCAACAGTTGCGTGCAAGAAGGTAGGGAGGAGCACAGCACTGCTGTGGGGAAAGGGAGCCACTAGGTCCTTTAGACTGTGTTTTTACTAGTAATTCAAATAGGCCAAGGTTGTCTATCATTTGAATCAGGTTGCAGCATTGTCTGGAAGATTGCTTGCTGCTGTTACCAAAACTGTGGCAGGGAGCCTGCTAACACACCCCGGTAACCTCACAATGGTTTACTTGATCAGGATCGACACAGCCTCATTGGCCCTACATTACAAAGCAAATTTTTTTGACAAATTTGAAAGCAAAATTTTACTTTGCATTTATTAACAATGAATTTATCTTTGCAATGTAAATTACTCAAGGAAAACTAATGAAATTGTTTGTAAGAAACCACTACATTTAATTACCTTGAATGGTCATCATGGGCCCTTGTGGTTTCTTAAAAAAGGACAGCCTTGGTTTTTTCCCTTGAGATTCCACATATTCAGAACAACAGTGACTAAGAGTTTGGAACTAAGCCTTCATTTTTCATTTGACCAATGATAGCAATCCACCATAAGCACTATGCATAGCATGGAACAAACACGCCATGCATATTTGGCAAAGGAGATCCTGTTTCGCATGGAAATGAGCAACATCTGACAATGTATGTTAGAAACAATCTCTCAGTGACAGAATTTAATTCTACTGGATTTGGAAAGAAAAAGTAACTTCTTTCTACATTTTTTGTTGGTTTGTTTTTTTGTTTTTTTTTTTAGTGCTTTCCTGCTAATCCAGTGGACAAATGTGAGCAAGCTTCAGCAATTTCTCACAGCAAAGAACATGTCTGTAAATTGTGGGACTGAAAAAGAAGCTGGATGAGCAAAGCGTATCATATTTTGTTCTATCTTACTTTTTAGATTGTGGGTAAGTCTTGAGATGTCCCTTCACTCAGGAGAAAGCAGTGACAAACTGCAGTTTCTACTCAAAAAGAAAATCAGAAAGCCTATACCCTGCAGGTAAAGCCGCTTTGCCAATCACCCAAACCCGTAGGAAATGCAAAACTTTAAAAGCAATGTTTTCACTGTTTTTTTCTTGAGCTAAATTATACCATATCTTCCTAGAAACTGCTGTGGTCTCATCAGCTATGTTTCAATACTGAAGGTCAACAGAGGGAGAGTCAGCAAGCCCTGTGGCAGGCCTCGGGCCTTTTCTGCAGGGGGCCAAATACTCGCTACACCTTCACCTCCCAACAAAGCTTGCGGTCAATCTCAGTACAAGCTCTGCAATTTCCCCTTTCCTCTCCGAGGCCGTACTTTGCCATTTATCATTTCGCTTTGCCCTCAGGCTTAACGAGCTTCAATCTGCACGCATCTATCCAAGCCAGTATGAATTTGATGTGTGCTCTGTTCCTCTGCTTGTATCCAGATGACATCACCTTCATTCCTTGCATGAACTCATTTTCTAATTATACTGAGGTTTTGTTTTACACCAGCACCAATTTTTTTTCCCTCACAGAAGTTCTCAGTTGGGGCTGCCTAGTCCAAAAGCGGTTGAGAGTTTCCAGCCCAGGGATGCGGTAGCAGAGATTGAGATGAGGAAAGCACGAGCTCACTTATTTCCACCTCCCATTCCACTAGGCAGTTTCTTTACTTCTAATTCTCCTCCACATACTGTCCCTCATCTCATGGACTAACAACCAGACTGCAATATTAGCAAAGTTTCTAACTCCATCAATGCATCATCCACATGCAAAATCAATTCTAGTAGAAGGGAACACTCCCCCTTTTGTCTGAAACCTCTCTGAGGACACCAGTCTGTGCCCAGTGTAGCATAATTCCCACTGTTTTCCCCGCATTTCAGAAACTATCACCATCCCTTTCTTAGGCACCATGGGCTCTAGCTTTGGGACCAATCCTAGAAGCAGCAATGATTACAATTCTGTCTGCAAATTTTTGAATAAACTTTGATCCCAGAAAGATGTCATCAAACTGGCAAAGCTTCAGAAAAAAGTAACAAAAGTAATCACGGTTTGCAGAGTTTGATTTATAAGGAAAGACTAAAAGGCCTAAGTATGTATAAGAGTAGCCAAATGATGACTAAGGGAAAATATGGTAACTGTCTAAAAGTATTTGAAGGGTCTAAACACCACGGGAATAGGCCAGTGTGGGAAGTTTATGTTCATACTTTTCTTTGTATGTCTGATGTCAAATTTTGCCTGCACTATTGTGGGGACTTTCTAAACCTTATAGCTTTAAGACCTAGAGCTCTTCCCAAACAAAGGCAGAGAAAATGCATCACGAAGAAATCTTAAGATTGATTTATCTTTCTTCTCAGCTATTTGAATATTAATTTGTCTTAACTGAAGCGTTACCTTGTCTCATTAGTCAAACAGAAGAAGGGAAATTGAAATTTATGCGTAGGGAATACGGAGGCTATTCATGTTGAGGTATGAGAGATGTGTGTGTAAAGCCATGCTTTACAAGGCCAAGAACATGATTTCTTTTTTTTTTTTTTTTTCTTCTTTTTGGGATTGGATCAGCTTAAAATAGCCAGCTATGTTAACAGTGCATCATTGGGCCATTAAAGGAATGGCCAAACTTATTAGTAAAAGTAACATTCATTCCTTTTTTTACTAGTGTTGGCCTTGTTTACATAGGAAGTCTGGGTGTTTTACAGTGTGCTAGTAACTGATTCTTAATTCCCTTTGTGACAGTTTGGCCATATTCAGGCAGCTTAACTCAATCTACTTCTCTGCTCTGCATCTACGGCAAAGCTGGGCACATTGCAGACACTGAGGAGATCACAGAGGACCAGATTAAGGTCCCCCTCTGCCCATACGCTGAACTGACTGTATTTAAGTAAGTAAGCTCAGTTTGCAAGATGCATAGTGATGTTAACATGATGCTACCTGAAAACCTTGCTAAAAGATAAGGTAAACAGCTTAAAGATGGTTCTTTGTTAAAAGCACTGCGATACTGGAGCTTGCAGCATCAGAACAGCAGCATTTTGGATATATTCAAGCGTGAAACTGCCATACTAGGAAAGACTACAGCATCATATTGTTTTGATAAAATTGTATTAAGCTGAGGCTCGTAAAATCAATAGTGCTCGGTCTTTTGTTCTTGACAGCATTTTGTGTCAGCTTTCATGGGAAATCAGAAAAAGACAGTGAGATTCAAGTTCAGTAAAATGCTGAGGATCCACCAGATGCACCCATGGGTCACAGCAGTGGCTTTGTATAGAAGAGGAGAGTCATGTCTCCAGAAGCACAATCTCTCACCTGCACTGGCAGCATTTTGGATTAGAGATACAGAATCACAACCTTGGGATCCCACTTTGCAAAGCGTGAAGTTGGCCTGCAGCTTGGGAACCAAATGCTGCTGCTGTAATTCCTCACCTGAATGTTACCTATAGGGCACAGCACTGTGTAAGAAGGGTCACCATGCTTGCTGTAATTATGTAGCTAGCTCTGCTAAAACATACAAATGCACAACAGAAAAATGAAAACACAAATGTTTCTTATTAAGATATACAGAACTAAGCATGGGTTGAGCTAAACCTCTCTACTGCAATGCATCCCCTGTAATGGAAAATCCTCATGCTCTATGAAACACGACCATTAAAATGAGCAGTACAGATACACGCTCATTTTCAGTCTC